GGGGGTGGTGGTGAGACGGTTTCAAACACTATTTTTTTTAAGTATTTATAAGAAATAATTTCTAAAAGTAATTTTTAAAAGTCAATCTAGATTCCAAACACACATTTAGGGGCCTATTTTTCCTATTAAATTTAGAGTGTTAACATTAGTCGTTAGATTAACTTTAAAGTAAAAATTAAAGCGATCTCAACCGCGAATAGCAAAAGTCATTTTGTTTATCTTTTGAAATTTGAATTGTAAGCTACTTTATTATATAGATGTGTATGTTTTAGGTGTTTGCTTATCTTTGAGACAATTAACAATGATTAGACTATGGTACCGGAAAGTAACTTTGTGATTATATTTTTTTTTTGTCCAATTGCAAAGATGTGTTACTATTTTATTTTTTAATTTTTTGATTTTATTTTAGAATTTATATGATAAATGATTGCAAGTAAATCAAATTAAGATTTATGGCTCAGTTATTATTTTTTTTTACGTGGCACCAAAAAATCAACTTTGTATTATGAGTATTAAAAGTGGTGGTTATTTTTATCACAACAATCTTAAAAATATTCATAAATGTGAAAAATCACTTAAAAAAGTAATAATTTTTTTTGTAATAAAAAAATGATAAAAATAGTTATCACAATATAATGATAAAAACACCCATAGTGATAAAAATATTTACAAATATAAAATTTTTTTAGTTATAAATAACCCATAAAAATTGTAAAAATATTTACCGAAATAATAAATTTTAAAGGTACAATACAATTTTTTTTTTTGATACCGAAGTTAAGTGCATAGTTATTAATCCGTACATCATTTGGCAGTGGCAACAGAGACAAACCTTTCCATTGGCCACCTGTATTGGAGAAGAAGACTACTGTAGTCAAAAGAAAAACGGTATTGGAGCACTAAGTTTTACAAGTTTTGTAGGTTTAGGACAGGGGTGTTAAAATATGGTATGACATTTTAATACGATATAAATGTAATATAAATTAATATAGGTGAAATCAATAAAAAAGATATATGACGTTTTAAGTTATTCGTTTCGTAAATTGGTAGACCCGATACAACACAACATGATTAATAAACTAATTAATATAGGTGAAATCAATAAAAAAGATATAAGACATTATTAATTTATATACGATTTATATATGACACGTCCTTGATATGACATAATTTGTTATACATGAAATAGTAAACGAATCGAGTATAAGTAGAATACTTTTTGACAAAAATTTGTTAAAACCCGACACGAACTCGTTTTACTCGACACAAATGATAACCCTACTTTAGATACAAATTTTTAGATTTGTTTATTACAAAAAATATTAGGATTGATCCTAAAAAACACAATTGTTTGGATCACCTTATAACTTTTGGAGATTAAATTGTAACATTTAGGACTGAAGTTACAATATTTTGGAGGTCAAGTTATATCTTTTGCAGTACTTAAGATCGATCTTAAACTTAGTAGAATCGAAATCCTATTAATTTTAAGATCGATCACATATATCCCCAAAAATTGTAAAAAAAAAATTCACAAAACTTGTAATAACGGTCCTGTATCAATTTTTTTATTCGGTACCCTAGTCTTCTCCTATAGTCTATGACCATTGTCTTATGTAAACATACTTTTAATTTATTAAGTCGAAATCTATTTTTTTTTTCATTTTTATATGTAAAATAAATATGAAATAGTAAACAAAAGGGGGGATTGGTTGGGGGTAATTGGGACCAAGAAAAGAGAGGGTTGGGTTGGGTTGGGTTGTCACCGACACTTGTGCGATCTGCTTGTGAACTATTAAATGAGGATAGATCCACGTAAGAGCACTAGTTTGGTCCGATTTCCGACAATTGTATGCAGGGGTGGAGTTAGTATTTCTCTAGAAGGGTGTATCTAGAAGTCACGAAAAGATAGGTTTTGGGATTGTAGAGAGTCATATTGAAATCAAAATCAAAGGACCATTTTTTTTGGTCTTACCTTTTGCTTTAGTCTTTGATTTTAAATAAAGAAATTAGCGGTAGATAGACTAAATCTTATACATTAATCAAGGGCGGCGAAGCAAGTTAGATTTTGTTTTTGTAATCAATCCCTCACTTGGTCTATTGGTCATCGTTGGAAAAATTTCATCTATAAGGACTATTTTAGTCTAGTTTTAGAATCTCATTTTTTTTCATGATTCTTTTCTGATCTTATCTTGATACATCTCATTCTCTTTATTTGACAAAACCGACAAAAGTCCCATTTGTATATAATAATTGCATTACAACAGGTCTTAGTTTTAAAGTAAAAGTGTGATTCGATTTATTAACTTCCTTAATAGTTAAGAAATTTTTCGATTTTATTCATATGTCAATCAAAAACTTATAATTAGGGGACTAGCAAGCTCAATAAATTTCAATTGATGATGCAAAGCTTGAAATTCCAAAGAATGAAGTATGAGAATACCCTTTTTCTTTGGTCATGGTTATGTAGGGGTGTTAATTTTTACCCGTTGACACAAGTACGATACAAACTCGGCAAGAAATTAAAAATAACACGACTAATAAACACGAATTGTACAAGAGTTAGATTGAGATTAGACACGATTAACTAATATTGTAAGTAAAAAATAGGCTTTTTAGATTTTTTTTTTAATTTCTTTATATAGTATCATATAAATTGATTTAGAATTAAATATTTTTTTACTAACACAATTACTGACACAAACGAAAATGACATGATGTAAAACTGAAACGACTGAAAATGACACGATACGAAAATAATATGATACGACTAATGTAACTTTTGCCAACAAAGAAAACTAACACGGTGGTCTAGGAGGAGGGACTAAAATGTTGGCCAATGGTCATGGTCATGGGCTTTAACCAAGCCGGCCCTTACTATCAAGCGGATAGATATGAAACTTTTCAAACGAAAAAAAAAGGCCTAGTGCTCAATTTTGACCGCTTTTGCTAAGTACCTCTCAATTACACATAATGACTTTCTTTTTTCTTTCCTTGACTTGGCTTAATCAAAACACACACACACACATAAATATCTGGTCACTGTATAGACAATTTGGCAACTTGGCAATTTAGCTACACTAATAAGTCTGTATCGGGGATCTATATGGACCAATAAATGGTGAAACACTGTATTTGGGGTAAATTATAATCGCAACCCTTGACATATAAGCTTATTTATTAGATGTGACATGACATTTTGAAAATGACAACGAGATGCCGATCCAAAAGTTAAAATAGTCGTTGATAAAATTTTAAATAAAAAATTGTCGCTTTAATTCTGTGGTCCAAATATATCAACATTGATCCATGGATCAAAATTGATAAATTGGTCAAAATTGTTTAATACTTGAAATTTATAATATATAGACGAGAGAACCCTCTAACCCCGATCAAATATCTATTAAATGTCACAATTATATCACATCATTTTTTATATGAATTATCATCAAACAGTTATAAGACACGTATAACTAATAAACTCTATTAACACAATGTTGTAGTTTTTCGATGCAATGGTTATATAATTTTAAGTAGTGTTCACTAATTCTACGAGAGGTTCTATAATTGGTTTGTGCCGCGTGGTATAATTTTCCTCCCCCAACTCATGTAGACTCTAATCCGAATTGAGATCACCTCCACTACAATTTTATTCAATTTGAATCACTATTTTCCCCTCTTTTGCCCATGTTGACACCCTTTTCTGTCCCGTTGATCTCTTTTCCTTTCTTGTGCATCCCTCCTCTCCCTACCGTCGCAGTAAGGCACTACTACTACTAATACTACTACATATTTGATTTTACCTAACAAAAAAAACAAAGAAAAAAAAATATTCTTACCCTAGAACTCTAAAATAAATATATATATATATATATATATAAATGTACGACTCTTCACTGCACTATCCACAATTAGAATAATAATCAGTGTGTTTCATGATTGCAACCAATAATCAAAGTAGACGCTGTCACAATCACCACTGCTTGACCAATAAGCTAAATAATTAGAACAAACAATACCGTCACAATTATCACCATCTTATCAATCCCCATTTCTCTGAAAGACACTTCTAAATAGGGATAATTGGGACAAAGTTGTGGTGTGGGCTATATTGGCGAAGATAAGTTATTTTGTTTTGGTGCGGCTTGACTTGGTGGAACATGACAGAGAAGAGTTGGAGGGAATTGTGAAAATTGTTGTAGTGAGTGTAAGTCGAGATGAAGAAGGTCCATAGTACTGTATTTTTTGTGGGCATTTGGTTGAATAGTTGGTTCGAGTTTGGGTCTGGGTTCAGGTCCAGGTCCGAGGTCAAGTCGAGGTTCGGGTTCGGTTCTATAAGTCCGAGTCTGAAGTCTGGTCCAAGTCCGAGGTTAGAATTCCCCATGAATCCTGTAACAAAATTAGTTCTAAGGAGGAAGTGAGGAAAATTATTTTACCCTAACATTAACTTTTAAATAGTTAGTATGTCACGAAAACGTGTTATAGAATTAGAGATTCCTTATTAGACCGTAATTACATCTAGTTACCCCATAACTCTAATATATTTTACAAAGTACCCCTGTTATAAAAAAACTGATAGTGAAAATTCCCTTTTGTAGAGATTTTACATTGTTCTTGTCCGCCATGCTTTGTCTATTGCTTATCTTTCTCCAAGTTATGAACGAAGAGGTGGTTCTTATTATAATTTGACAATAATTAGTAGAAAGCAATGCTCTCTACTAGTAATGTTGTACAATAATGTTACACCAGACAATGACATAAACACCTCTCAGATCTAAATAAGTCGTCTTAAAGGTAGAGAAACCCTTTGCATATCGGAAATTTTCAGTTCCAGCAACAACGCCAAGCTCTCTTAACATTTTCAAATTGACGACTAGCACCTTGTATTTTCAAGGTGCTACCATTGAACACTGTATTGGTAAATATAATCAATATCATTACATGTGTTGTGGAACCATCCAGTGCCGAGGTTACAAAGACACCTTGGTCCCTTGCAATTTGGGCCAACTCCCTGATAGGCCTTCGGTTATCGGGACATCGGTGCAAGAAAGAGTTCCAAAGCTGGCATATGTCCAAAGGTGGCCGGGGATACCGGTGACCGGCATAGCTGTGGCATTGGGTCCTTCAAATCGGTCCTCGAAATATATGGCCATGCTAGTTTCTTGTTGCTGGACCAAAGTCCTGAAACTTGTTTATATTTTGACGAAAGGAAATTTAGTTAGGGTTACATTATTTGAGCCTTTTTTTGACCTGTCTAGTATTGCGTGGCTCATTCGTGATTACCTCATACTGTGATGTTTTGTTCATGGGAATCCTACATTAGTTGAACNGAATAATAATCAGTGTGTTTCATGATTGCAACCAATAATCAAAGTAGACGCTGTCACAATCACCACTGCTTGACCAATAAGCTAAATAATTAGAACAAACAATACCGTCACAATTATCACCATCTTATCAATCCCCATTTCTCTGAAAGACACTTCTAAATAGGGATAATTGGGACAAAGTTGTGGTGTGGGCTATATTGGCGAAGATAAGTTATTTTGTTTTGGTGCGGCTTGACTTGGTGGAACATGACAGAGAAGAGTTGGAGGGAATTGTGAAAATTGTTGTAGTGAGTGTAAGTCGAGATGAAGAAGGTCCATAGTACTGTATTTTTTGTGGGCATTTGGTTGAATAGTTGGTTCGAGTTTGGGTCTGGGTTCAGGTCCAGGTCCGAGGTCAAGTCGAGGTTCGGGTTCGGTTCTATAAGTCCGAGTCTGAAGTCTGGTCCAAGTCCGAGGTTAGAATTCCCCATGAATCCTGTAACAAAATTAGTTCTAAGGAGGAAGTGAGGAAAATTATTTTACCCTAACATTAACTTTTAAATAGTTAGTATGTCACGAAAACGTGTTATAGAATTAGAGATTCCTTATTAGACCGTAATTACATCTAGTTACCCCATAACTCTAATATATTTTACAAAGTACCCCTGTTATAAAAAAACTGATAGTGAAAATTCCCTTTTGTAGAGATTTTACATTGTTCTTGTCCGCCATGCTTTGTCTATTGCTTATCTTTCTCCAAGTTATGAACGAAGAGGTGGTTCTTATTATAATTTGACAATAATTAGTAGAAAGCAATGCTCTCTACTAGTAATGTTGTACAATAATGTTACACCAGACAATGACATAAACACCTCTCAGATCTAAATAAGTCGTCTTAAAGGTAGAGAAACCCTTTGCATATCGGAAATTTTCAGTTCCAGCAACAACGCCAAGCTCTCTTAACATTTTCAAATTGACGACTAGCACCTTGTATTTTCAAGGTGCTACCATTGAACACTGTATTGGTAAATATAATCAATATCATTACATGTGTTGTGGAACCATCCAGTGCCGAGGTTACAAAGACACCTTGGTCCCTTGCAATTTGGGCCAACTCCCTGATAGGCCTTCGGTTATCGGGACATCGGTGCAAGAAAGAGTTCCAAAGCTGGCATATGTCCAAAGGTGGCCGGGGATACCGGTGACCGGCATAGCTGTGGCATTGGGTCCTTCAAATCGGTCCTCGAAATATATGGCCATGCTAGTTTCTTGTTGCTGGACCAAAGTCCTGAAACTTGTTTATATTTTGACGAAAGGAAATTTAGTTAGGGTTACATTATTTGAGCCTTTTTTTGACCTGTCTAGTATTGCGTGGCTCATTCGTGATTACCTCATACTGTGATGTTTTGTTCATGGGAATCCTACATTAGTTGAACCAATAACAATGGTGTGTCATGATACAAAGGATCGGTCGATACTGATACGAGTTAGTCGAATTGTATTTGACTTGATATTTTTTAAGATCATACATTTACACGATACGTATAAACCTCGAGTCTCGCACAATTTGACCGAGTTATAATCGAGTCAATTCCGAGTGGTTGAATTATTGTCACCGAATGAACCGGTACAATTTCTGAATTACTCGTCATATTTAATATTTTTTTAGTTCATAGCACCCGACACTATGACGTAATGCTACTACTGATGTGTTTCAGAGCTCTCAAATTTATAGTTGATACCACGACCTTGAACCATGTAGTGTGACGCTCAAAAAATGAAAAATTCTTCTAGTAGGGTTGCCAATGGTGGACAAAATTCATGGACTTGATCCAAATAAACCTTTCCTATGAAGTGGCTATGCAGATTACTATCTTCACTTTTGAGATGTAACAATACTGGAAAAGTTTTCACCTTCAAGACTAACATACCTTTTTCAATTACCAGGACTAACACACTCAATTTTTTCCTTACATAGTCGATTTCATGGAGGACTAACTTTAATTTTGAATAAATTCTTTATGCAAAATCAAGGGTCACGTTATTACCAATAATATTCAGTAACCAATCCATGCATTTCGAAAAGATTGTAGTCTTATAACATATTGTAACACCTCACTTGAGCTTAATTAGAATTTCTCCAAGAAATTCAAGTTTTATGGGACCTTCTTTGTGGAGTCTAATAGGTCTTGAACTTCTATCTGGACCATGTTATATCACATATATAAACTATGTTGGTAAAGTAGGCTATGCGGATGCTATCACGTGTAAAAAAAGAGACATGTAAACTGACGGGCCCGGTCTAGACCAGGCCCACCTCAAGGCCCAATGCAGATAAAGTGTAGTTTAAATATATACAGGTCAAACTCATTGGGGGTAATATGTGGGATGTAATCGTTAGGTGCAAGATGGTACCCTCACGGAACTACCTTGCTTGGTATGAGAATGACGTCACATTCACGGAAATGTCTCGCATATTACAAAAATGGTGTCATCTCCATCGAACTACTCCATCTGTTACGAAAATGACGCCCCCAATTTATTAAGAGACACTCATAAATTATAAGTATACCTATATAAGGGGGACATCACACACATTTCAACACTCTACACTACTTGAACAATAAAATACTTTGGTCACCGTAGCCCTTCGTAGTGGAATAGGTTACTCTAGCTAAATCACTTTAATTGTGTTTACTTGTTTTGCGAATACAAAACATCGCTTTTGCGTTTATTTTTTGCGCATGTGGGATGCAGGATTATGTAAGTTTGAGGGAATTTTAAGAGATCCGAATACCTCCAAAGGACCGAAAAGAAAAAAAAATTGGTGAAAGAAATATCACTTCTCCTTTTATTGGCCAACTAGGAAGCAACACGCTCAACTAGAAATGAAACATGGTGATGTTACATTGAATTACAGCATAAGCACTTTCCATGTCCAAATAAGCCGTCTCAAATGTAGCAAATCCCCTTGCATAACGGAATTGTCCGGTTCCACCGACCACTGCAAGCTCTCTCACCTTCACATATTGATTGGTAGCACCTTGGATTTGTATGGTGCTACCATTGGACTCTTTAGTGATGAACACAATTGATATAGACACGTATGTAATCGAACCATCCAATGCCGATGTCACATGGACCCCGTGGCCCCTTGCTAGTTGCTCTGAGCTCCCTTCAAGGCCTTCAGTTATTGGACTATCGATGCAAAACACAGTTCCAAAGCTCCCATACGTCCAAAGGTGACCGGGGATGCCAGTGATCGGGACAGTGGTCGCATTGGGTCCTGCAAATCGATCCTGGAAATAGATGGTCAAGTTGGTTTTTCGGAGAAGGGCACCTTCAGATTGTGACCATAAAAACATTGCCAGAAGCAAAAGTATGGACATTTTGATTGGTGTCGTTACAACATTTTATGCCATTTGGAGATGGTGGCTACCTCAACAACCAAGAAGTAGAACAAGAATGAAAGGACGAAGTGAGTTCTGAACTTGTCATCAAACAGGTGCAGTGGCTTGACTTTATAGAGTTGAGAGGAGGAGAGCTTTTAAGCAATTCATTAGGCAATTATAAGTTCAGTTGCAGGAACACACAGTCTATGTGACATAGAACATCCCCTCGAAGAAAGGAAAAAAATGAAAACTAGAATTTTTGAGCTGGTGTAATACAATGGACAAATGAATATTATCTTTCTTCCTTGTCTCCTAGTCTCCCTTATTATGAAAAAGATGCTATACGGCATCGAGGAGATTAATCATTTTCGATCGCATTAGAAATGGCATATATGTACGGCCATTATCCTCCGTTTGAGTCCAAAAACTTGGATTAGAGAAATTTCTCTTAATCAGACTCCCTTATTGTTCAATGGTCGGTTGATAAAGAATTTAATTATATAATAAATTGTGTGTACAGCTAATGCCGGCTGACTTATGTGCTTAATTTTTTACTTAAGACTTGTTTTAGAAATCAGTGATAATGTTTTATTAGTTTTCGTTTTGTATTCGTGTTGTCTTATGCAAAGGGTGAGAGAGGGTGTCTGTGAGTGGAGCTGTATAGAGTAGATGTATTGGCTGGCCCCTTTCGGTAACTAAGAAGCTAAAAAAGGAAGAGAACAGCAATAAGCCAAAGCATAACTATGTAAGACATTGAATTGAAAGGGATTGCTTCCTTGGCTTACTATTTTACGATGTGGTTCATTACAGTTCTGAAGGAAAACACAGAGCAGAGCTGTTCTTGCTCATATATATAGACTTCAATAAGATCTTGATTTGAAAAAAAAATTTGAAGCCCGTTTTCAAAAACGAAAGGAAATTCAGGCATAATCCATCTTTTGCTTCTCAGTCTGGTCACGTCAGCAATCATTTGGTTTTATATTTTAAGGAGTTGACTATCGTGCCCAAATAAAAAAAAAAATCGGTATCATCCTTCTATTTACCCCACATTTGTAGTTACTTTTATCATATTTATAGGTCATTTTATCACTATTGTGACACTCAAAAAAATAATAAAAATAATTATCAAAAGAGTGGTAAAAACACCAATAAATGTAATAAACACAACCACAAATATGGTAAATTTTTTTGTACCAAAAAAAAATGATAAAAATAGTTATTACAAATGTAATAAAAATAACCACAACAGTAATAAAAATACTTAAAAGAATTATAAAAACACTCATTAAAATGGTAAAAGTTAGAGGTACAATACTAAAATTATTATTTCAATACCATAGTCAAATCCATATTTTAATACCAATTTTTGGTTAGTCTAATATTGCCCAAATTAAATTTCATTGAAATAGTCTGTTCTTGTACTGTTGTTCATAGGAAACCTAAATTACCTTAACCAACTATACATTAGTATCACGTTTTAAAAATGAAAAAAAAATACTTATAGTTACACTCTCTCTAACAGTTTAAATTTTTGAAGTAAGTGATTGTATAACATGGTATCAAAGTAAGATGTCAAGTATTTGATTTTCACTGTTACTCTAATTATTAAAAAGATTTTGAATTGCTAAGTCAAAAATTTAGTCTGTACGTGAGAGACTGCGTCGAACTATAAATACTTAAATTTACATTATTTCCAACAAGTTAAATTTTTGGAATAGATAATTAACTATATAATATTACAGTTATAAAATTGAATCTTCAATTTATAAAAATATAACAACAGTTAACATTGATATAATTATCATCTACTCTGATCCAATGTTATAAAAATTATCTCAAATTTTTTTCCCATTCAAAAACATTAAATTTTTTACACAATTTCCGAACAATTCAACTAATACACTCTAATACAAAATCACCCCACTAATTCACACTTACTTTTATCTTATTTTCTCTTTTTTCACTTTAATTTTAAATTACGTAACTAGAAAAATAATAAAATATAAATTGCTATTTAAAATATAAATGTTGTAAGACAATATTCAATTTTTGACATTGCAAAATGTTTTCAAGGGTTGTCACAGGGTTAAACTCGTCAGGTTCCCATCAATGTTGAATTTTTGGTTTTTTTTTATTTTTTGGTTGACCTAAGAAAAGATGATCAAACCCTTCTGTGGTGGCAAATTCATTAGGCTATTCGAATGCTATTATTACTTGTAAAAAGAGGTCTTCAAACAGCAAATATATCATTGATTTGTTAATAAAAAAACTTCACTTTTGGTTTTATTGTCCATGCATATGGGATGCAAGGATTACATAAGTTCCATAGGAATTGTTGGGTTCTATAACAGACCCAAATACATCTTATTTGTTTTTAAAAAAAAAAAGAGAGAGAGAAACATTACTTCTCATTTTATTGTCCAAGTAGAAAGCAACACTCACGAAGCACTAGTAATGTTCAATAGTAATGTTGCACCTAATAACAGCATAAGCAGCTTTCATGTCCAAAAACGCCGTCTCAAATGTAGCAAAGCCCCTTGCATATCGGAATTGTCCGGTTCCACCTACCACCGCAAGCTCTCTCACATTCACATATAGATAATTAGCACCTTGTATTTCCAGGGTGCTACCATTGAACTCTTTATTCATGAACACTATCGATATTGACACATATGTAGCTGAACCATCCAATGCTGATGTCACATGGACGCCTTGTCCCCTTGCGATTTGCTCTGAACTCCCTTCAAGGCCTTGGGTTATTGGACTATCGATGCCAAACACAGTTCCAAAGCTCCCAAACGTCCAAAGGTGACCGGGGATGCCAGTGATTGGGACAGTGGTCGTATTGGGTCCTGCAAATCGATCCTGGAAATATATGGTCATGTTGGTTTTCTGGAGCTGGGGAAGGACACCTTCAGACTGTGAGTGTGAACATACAAACATTGCTAGAAGCAAAAGTATGGACAGTTTGATTGGTGTTGTTGCTACATTTTGTGCCATTTGGAGATGGTGGCTAACTCA